TTCTGAATAAACGTTTGTTATTTCTAAAAAAAAAAAAAAACTGAGGGAGAATGAGAGGGGCAGTAGGAAAGTAGGAAGTAAATTCCATACTGAAGAGTTCAGGTCTTCATGGCCACTGTTTTCCATTAAAATTATACATACAGGATATTCATATACTTACAGACCAGAATTATGGATTGAACTTTATTGTTGTTCTATAATATACAACCCCATGTTCTTTAAAGTTTCAAACAACTTCAAAAGTGAACTGTGGTTTCCCACTCGATTTATCTCCAAAATACAGCAGAACCACAAGAAAGGCCTTCCGTCATGAGCTTGATTGAGAAAACCACTGTGGACCAATTCAGCAGGTTTCCATGGAGATTTCTGGTTACAGAGGTATCTCTTAACTTCCCATCACCTCTCTATTGTGAATCCAAGACATACATGACTCTAAACAGGAAGTGGGAATACAGTTCCACCCATATGATTTAGTGCATACTGTGTGCAAGTCACATTAGATATTTTAATTAGCAAAAGGAGTTTGTTTCTATAATTGTCACTCAGAGATATGTTAATTGAGGAAAACTTGGAATCTATCAAAATGTCTATGGTATATGTTTCAGGAATCTATATTTTCAGAAGGTAAAAAGATGATCACAAAGGAAATTCCAAACTATTCAAAAATAACCTAAAATGTTATATTCTTTTCTTTTGGAGGGCACATAGAAAATTCATTTTCATGACCAATTTCCATTTCCCTAATTGTATGCCCATCATAGTTTTTATAGGTAAACGTTTTTGTCATTTTCTACGATTTTTAAAATAAATTTCTTCATAGAACTTAAAAATCACATGAAATTAGAGTCTTATACTACGTGAAATTAAGCCCAAGCCAAGTTCATTTTCACTGTGAAGATATACATTCAAAAGTTTTTTATATATTGGGTTGTTGAAAAGTCATGACGTATTTTTTCTATGTTTTTCATTGCAAAAATGCGTCATGACTTTTCCGACAACCCAATAAAAAAATATTTTAAGACTATGGAGATTTCATTCCAGTTATGTTCCATGTGATGTATTCCTGAGAATCTATTAATATAATCTATCATGCCAATGGATCAAAGTAAAAAGTACTGGGGGTGCCAAAAAATGTATACAAGTGGACAGTGGTCAAGCAGTAAGTTCGCCATCATCAGAAGTGTCTGGACGCTGAGGTAACCACTTTGAGCACCTCTTGTAATTGCAGAAGTCACATGTGACTTGTACTCATTGTTTGTTATCGGCATATATTGAGTATTACAATTTTAATACAGTTTTCCTTTCTTAAAATGTGTATACATTTTTTTGGCACCTTCTGTATAGATGTGAAAAAAACTTTGATAAAATTTAACCTTCATTTTATTTTTCAAGACTATTAGTAAAATAGAAATCGAGCTTTATTACCTTAACATTATAAAAACAGCTATCTGAAACCATCTCTCAGCATCATGCTCGAATCATTCAGGGTTCTAATTAAATTCAGGAACAAAAAGTGGGTGATAAAACACCATTAATATCTAATGTTATTTTGATAGTTTTAGCCAAAGTAACTAGACAAGATATCAAAACGAGATGTACAAATACTGGAGAACAGGAGACAATATTATAATTATTTCTTCTGACAAGCTATGGGATCAAAGATTCAACTGTACATTCAATGGCATGTACAGTTAAATGTAAATTTAAAAAATCCCTACAAGTCTTCCATTCCACTAGTAGCCTCTTACAATATAAAATAATAATTTTTAAAATGTTCTCTACAAGACTAGCAACATTAAGTGGTGGTTAAATAATCATCCATCCATCCATCTTCCTTCCTTCCTTCCTTCCTTCCTTCCTTCCTTCCTTCCTTCCTTCCTTCCTTCCTTCCTTCCTTCCTTCTTTCCTTCCCTCCCTTCTTCCTCCCTCCCTTCATCATCCATCCATCCATCCATCCATCCTACCAGTGGAATCCTCTGCTGAGCTTTATTTAACAGCTGGGAAGATCTCCAAGTGCTGATATGCAAATGGCACCAAGTATATGGTTGGCTGACAAAGCAATGGGGACACTGGTATGTACAATAGACTCCTTCTGTGTGTAAAAATGATAATACACATAATATGCATAAAAAATGTCTGGCCAAAAACTTTCTGGAAAGGGGTACTAGGACTCTGGATGCAGAGAAAATGAATTCATTTTTAATTATGCAGAGGAAAAAGGCACTGAAAGAGATACAGATGCAGATGCATACTAGACACACTAAAAATCCAAAAACTGTACTAAGGAATTTATAGACATAATCTGGATAAACAAAAGTATGCACAACGTTGCTGAGTAGGACCACATAGCATGATTAGCATGTCAATTCAAGGTAGTCTATAACGTTAATGTGATTCCAATTCAAATCTCAAAACTATTCCGTCTGAGTCTTGAACAAAAAATTTAAAAACTCATCTGCAAGACTGAACTTTTAAGAACAGGCAAGAACATTTCTAAGAAGCAGATTAAAGTCTTGGATGGGGTTGGGGGTTATAAAAATACATTTGAGAGTTACGGTAAAGTGGTATTGTTTTGAGATATGAATAAATAGACATAGGACTGAGACAGAATGAAAAGCCCAGAAATAGACAAACATATGTAAGTATCCATGTGTATGTGTGTGTGTACAGATGATAATGCTGTTAGATACTGGCTGTTTTTGAACACCCAGCATACATTTTCAACCTCCCCCTCTTCCCAATCCTTCCTAATAGCACCTAACTTTGTTTTTAGGAATTACCTCTCAGATCCCATTGGTGGGACAGTTAAGCACATTCTTTCTTGCCCTGGCCCATCAAACTGCTCCCTTCCTGGATTGTGACTGGAGCAAATGAACGGCGGTTGAGAACCACTGGAATTGGTCACTCCTGTAGAGCTGTGCCTGGTGAGGTCAGGGTTCCCGCTGCAGCCCTGCTTTCTAGGTCAGGCCTCGCACCTACAGAAGCTTCTTTGGAGCCAACCAGTTTCCAAGCTTAATCTCTAGCCCCTTGGATATTCTATAGCCCCCACCATCCTTCCAGTAAATGGCCTTTGGCTTTGTCAGTCTTCGTAGCTTGCCACCAAAGGACTCTTAATGATTTCAGGTGACATTTCAAATCATCAGAAGAATATTAAGTTACTCAGGAAATAGTTGTAGGAAAACTAGCTACCCATTCGGGGGGAAAAAATTCATCAAGTAAATTCCAGAATATCAAAGAATTAACTACAAAAAATAAAAATACACCATAACCGAGAAAATTAGTAGGGTCACATGATCTTAGGAAAGTGAAGGTCTTTTTATTGGCACCACGGTAAGACCACAAAGGAAAACATTCACAGGTTTGAATACACAAAAATTAAATATTTTTTTATTTCAAAAAGTAAAATGAAAAGGCAAGTAACAATCGAGGAAATATATTTGACCAGTATAAGCTGCAGGACTCAAAACCATAATATATAGAGTGCTTACAAATCAATAAGATAAATAGTTAAATCTCAAAATGGGTAAAAGTCCTAGTCAAATCACAGAAGAAAAAATATAAATGGTGCATTTATATGTATATATAATATATAAATATAAAATTGCATAGATATACGCATTTATATAAATTGCTCCTTTCCTATCCTTTTATGAAGCATACAACATACGGAAACAGGGTCTGAGAGTAAGGTCAGGAGGAGTCGGCCTTCCCAGGCTGAGCACTAGGTTTCTTTTGGACCTGGACCTTTAGGCCCCATTGCTTCTCATCACCCCAAGCTCTGTCTCCCACACACAGGGCCTTGCATTGGAAATTGGGGGTCAGAGGAAAATTGGCAAACCCCAGGTAGGTTGCCAGATTTTACCATATTCATAGCACCCAGTACGTAGGTACTAAGAAGCTGACCAAGTTCTGGGTAGAAGTTGACAGGTCACCCTTTCTGATGGAGATGGGGACCAGAGTGTGTGACTTCTCAGTCGCCATGGGGAATGTGGCATCACGCCAAGGGTCCTCTGTGGCCACCGTATTGGGATGAAATCTGATCAATTTGGTCCAGGCCACACTGAGCAGAAAATAACAAGATTAAACCCTCAGAGTTAGTTTTTGGAACTCAGTAGGTGTTTCTGCATTAAAACAATGTGAGCTTACACTACCCCTACTGGCCTTGGTAGGGAAGGAATGTAGAGAGCAGCAGCTGCCCCTCTGGACCCAAACAGCATGGCCACGAGAAATGCAGGCCTGGCCCTGCTACAGAAAAGCTTCAGCTAATTCAGTGTGGCCCCTGACTGCTCAGAAACGATAGCCATGGTCTGGACAAGTTCACGGCGATGGTGGAGGAGGACATGGCTTTACAAGAGAGCCCTGCGTAGTCTCCAAAATAAAGAACAAATGCCGGCGCCCCCATACCCAGCAGCCAAGGTCATATCAGGAGTCCAACTACATACACCCTTACTTAGTGTGATAGGACACCCTTGACTTCTGCTCCAGCCAGAGGCACATATAATGTACCAAGAGCGAAGTCATGATATGGGATGATGGTTCTATCCAACAAACTATTTCTTGATCCCCTACGATGTGCACGGTCTATGATTTTCCTATATCTAAAAGCTACTTCTCTTTTCTAAGTGAAAAATGAAAACAAAATTGTTCTGATGCACTCACTATCAACCTTGCATGTATCTTGGCACTCAAAATCAACTTGCAAAATTGATTTTGAAAAATTCAGTGGAGAGAAAAAATCAATGCGACAAATGCGAAAATAGAATCGTTACTAAAGACATTCATGCTAAAACAACACTATACGCTGTGTAACTGATTTATGAGCAGTCCAAGTGTTAATTTGGGAGAATTTTTAGAAATGAATCAAATTAACTTTAATTCCATGAAACCACCATAAAACATCAGAAGAAATCCAAGGATACAATAAAATTACTTTTTAAATTACTGTCATGCAAAATCAAAGCTTCTGACCTTTACCAAAAGGTCTGCGTTTCATTACTCACCAGCTGACAGCCTTCCAGGGCACTGACTAGCTGAGCATTCTGACAGGAAAGAATTGAACCAGCCAAATTCAGCATCACGCACACTGCAGAGAGCAGCATGAAAAAGGTTATCTGGAAACAAACCAAATAAAAAATAGATTATTCGCTTGGAGAGGCTCGAAGGAAAACTGATTTGGCTGTAAAAAAGCTTTCGGTTGATCAAATAATTCCAGGAGTAACATGTATATGCGTTAAAGGAAACTATTATTTCTCAAAATTTCAAGTTCATATTCCTTTAAATCAAACAGAGAAGGTAAACTCTCTGAAAAGCCATAGCCAGTGACCTTGATCTTATTTGAAATACGTATATCATAAAATATTTTAGAAGCTAAACCTAAAAATCCTGTACATTATTCAGCCTCAAAAGTTTTACATAGTCTCAAGAATAACAAGTTATAAATCACTAAAGAAAATCAAGTGAAAGAAGTTTATTTATTAGAAGGCCTTTAAGTTTATTTCTTTTGATTTTTTTATGGAAGATTTCGCACATATGCAAAAGCAGAGAAACTAGCGTAACGAAAGCCCCATGTATCCATCACCCACTCTCAACAACAACCAACTCAGGGCCAGTTGTGTTTTTCATTTACATCCTCTTTCTTCCAGATTATTTTACAGGCAATATCAGACGCTGTATGATTTTATTCGTAAACCTTCAAGTGCATATTTCTAAAGCAACTTTTTAAAAACATAACCAAAATACTGCCTTTATAATCACCTTTATAATAATTAATAATTAATTAATAGCAAATATTCAGAGTTCACATTTCCTTAATTGTCTCAAATTTTTTTATACTTTGAACCGGCTTACACAGGATACAAAGGAGTTTCACATAGTGCCACTCGTTATGAATATTAGATATTTTTTAATATATGGGTTCTCCCCTCCATTGTTTTTCTTCCTTGAAATTGGTTGAAAAAACCAGTTAGTTCATTTGTCATATACAGTTTCCTATAGCCCAAACTTTGCTCCTGTCTCTTAACACAAGTCCATCCTCTATATTTCTTGTTATTTGGTGGTTAGACCCAGAGGTTTGGTCAGTCTAATACAAGGTAAACAATGTCTCTCTTTCTAGTTTGTTGGCAGCCATTTTTGATGATTGCTTAAGCCCATTGTTTTTTAGGGTTTCCAAAACCATGCTAGTCTAACTCCATCATTTCTTCTTTTTTTTGACTCCCAGGTATCAGTATACAGATAGACTTTCCCTCATCAACTGTTTGTTATTTTAGGGTACAGTTCATATAGGAAAAGCAAGATATATGTTCATTTCTTTGTTGGTTTTCCAGATTTCAAAATAATGAGTAGATATGGTTCTAGAGTTCCAAAATAAACTCAGGCCTATATGGTGAGTTGCTTCATCTATGTAAATAATCAGGCTGAATCTAATGAAACAAAACTTTTTTTGTGATCAATAATATAATCCTTGAGATTAATATGATCAAGAGTGGGGAGAGTGTCATGAAAACTTGTTAATGACTTTGAAATGGGCCAGAAAAAAAAATTCACTGTGGGTCCTTTTTAGTGCACTCCTCTGAATTATTTGTGCCTTTCATTGTCTTTGAGCTATTTTACAACTTTTCATGGTAATGGAAGTGATTTTTGACAATATAAATATAAATATAAATGGATTTTGTCTGGTAGAATGCAATGATTAGCACATGGATGCTGACCATACCACACTTATTTGTGAATTTATTTCAGCATTCCTGATTACCTATGTGTGCAGTGTTTGAATTCTCCTTTGAACTCCTTGTAACATCTTATTGGTTCCCTCATTAAATGAGTTAAATGTAATCTTTGACACGTTAATTAAAAAATAATTAGTTGGGTCTCTGGCATCCTCCAAAGGCAACCTAAAGAGGTATTGTTTGTTTGGGTGTGTGTGTATATTTGTATGTTTCAGTCATTATGAAGCATAAACTTAAACACATTTGATATGTTTTAATCACTGGTCATTAGCAAGAGTCAACTCAAGTTGACACAACTCTAGTAGACTTTGAAATCTTTCTTATTTTCTAGTAAGAGATGATATCCCAGGATCATCATGTACATTTCTTGCCCCAGACCTTTAATCAGCCATTTCTTCAAGCACTGGTCTCTTTCAATGAGAAAGACTTTTAGATTCCACAATTTTCATGCTAGAGGTACTCTTGCTACTTGTATGGTTATTGTTTTAAATATTTTCAGTTGTTAGATATATCATGAGTTCTTACTGATGTCTTGAATTCAAATTCAAAACTTAATCTACTTAATCACATCAAACTTCTATCTCTATCTCTTTTCAACCATGCCTAAAACCTTATTTCTCATTATAATGTTCTATTTGATTTAATCTTCCAATACCCACACAAGTCTCAAAATAACAATGCTAATACTACCACCAAAAACATGGTTATTGAAAGTTTAAGATTTTTATCCTTAAGGGTATATTCTGCCAAAAATAAGTAGTCAAATGATGGTGTTTTAGAGTCACCATGGCTCCTTTATGTGGTTACGCTACTGACTGGAAACCCAGGTTCACTTGTTTCGTTTTTTATTGTTAGGGATGGATTTTTTTTAAATTTAGTTCCATTTTATAATTATATAAAAGGATTTTAAGTCAAATTCATAAGTTTCAAATAAGTCTAGCTTTTACTCTGTCTCCTCCATTCCATTTCCTACCTTCTCACTAGCTAGCATCTTTTCATGTGCTTATTGGTCATTTGCATATCTTCTTTGGAGAAACATCTATTTATTCAGATCCTTTGCCCAATTTTTAATTGGGTTATTTGGGGGGTTTTGTTGCTATTGGGTTCTGGGAATTCCTTATAGACTCTGAATACTAATCCTATACGTTGTGGATATTAATCCTATCAGATATAGGATTTTCAAATATTTTCTCATTTTGTGGGTTGCCTTTTCATTCTGTTGATTGTGCCCTTTGATGCACAAAAGTTTTAGATTTAGATCAAAGTTCAATTTACCTAGTTTTTTCTTTTGTTGCCTGTGCTTTTGGTATCATCCAAGAAATCATTACCAAATCCAATGCTCTGAAGTTTTCCCTCTGTTATCTTCTAAGAGTTTTACATTTTTAGTGCTTATATTTAGGTCTTTGATCCATTTGGGGTTAATTTTTGTATGTGGTATAAGGTGGGGTCCAATTGCATTCTTTTGCATGTGAATGTCCAGTTTTCCCACCACCATTTGCTGAGAAGACTTTTTCTTATTGAATGGTCTTGGCACCCTAGTCAGAAATCATTTGACCATATATGTGAGGGTTTCTTTCTTGGCTCTCTATTCTATTCCATTGGTCTATGTCTGTCTTATGCCAGTACGACACTGTTTTCACTACCATCGCTTTATAGCAAGTTTTGAAATCAGAAAACGTGAGTCCTTCAACTTTGTTTTTCTTTTTTCAGACTGTTTTGGCTATTTGGGTAAACTGTAAAAGATGTTAATAAAATATTGGGTCATCGGGAAAGTCAGGACACATTTTTGCATTGAAAAACATAAAAATACGTCATGACTTTCCCGACGACTGAATACTAAGTTGACTTTAAGGCAAAAAGCATTATTAATGATAAAGAGGGTAATTATATGAAAAAAAGAATTCATCAGGAAGATATGATAATGCTAAAACTGTTTAATTTCTACAAATATAGCCATATATTATATATATGAATTTTATAAAATCATGATGGGAGGTGTTGATCATTGTTCAAAAACTAATTTCTTAGGCAGGAAAAACTGTAAGAACATATAATATTTGAGCACAATAAGCTTTATAATCATACTATAAACATATTAAAAACATATAAAATTCACTTATTTTATTAAGGACACTTGGGAGTATATAAAATATTGACCATGTTAGGTCACAGAGCACAGGTTAATATTTTAAATTTGATTTTATAGGGACCATTTTATCTCATTCAAAGTAATTTTAAAAAGTCCGAGACCGGGCCGGTCGAGTGGCTTAGTTGGTTAAGAGCTCGCTCAAGAGTTTGAGCTCTGAGCAACAGCAGTTCGAGTCCAGCCCGAGCTGAGCAGCCGCTGAGCTGCCAACAGGTAGCAGGATGGCTCAGCTAAAAAAAAAAAAAAAAAAGTCCGAGACCAACAACAAAAAAGGACTTCAAAATCCAAATACAGTAATACCTGGTTTGCGAGCATAATTTGTTCTGGAAACAAACTACTTCTATTGCAAGACATTGCTGGTTTACCAAGTTAAAATGTATTAGAAATGTTTGCTCGTCTTGTAGAACACTCACAAACCACGTTACTTGCAATCCAAGGTTTTACTGTATTTGAAAAAACATTTTTAAATCACTCATTTGTAATTGTAAATAAAAGATAAATCATAACAGGTATTAGAAAATATTCAGAACTGAATATCACAAATATACTACAGATTAGAACTTCTGGAATGTGAGTAAAATTGTAAATAAAAAGAAATATATTGCCTTAAATGAATTATTGTGTTGTCAGAAAAGTCATGATGCATTTTTGCAAGGAAAAACATAAAAAAAAATACAACAACCCAGTAGAATTAAAAATCAATAGACTATTCTACTCAAGAAGAAAAAGAACCACTGAATAAACCCAAGGAAAGAAAATAGGAAGTAATAAAATTTAAAAACAAAGTAGCAAAGAAGAGCAATAAAACATGTTTCTTAAAAATACTTTAAAATAAATAAAATTCTGAGCAAAACTGGATCTAGAAAGAAAAAGTAGAAGGCAAAAATAATACTGAAAATGCAAAAGTGGACATAAATGAAGATGTAATAAAATTATTTTTAAATTGAAGGAGAATACTAAGAGCAACTTTATGTTAATGCATCAGAAAATACATGAAAACACTTTCTAGAAAATACAAGTGGTCAAACTATTTTGAAAAGCAGAGAAAACCTGAACGTATTGTTAATGAAACAAAATCACAGGCTAAAATACCCACCAAAAACACCAGGCCGAGAGCCTCTCACCAGTAAATTTTTTTTAAACCTTCAAAAACATTTAATCCTTACTTAAAGGGCAAAAGATAAACTCCCCAACTCATTTATGATACTATCATGTTTTCTATTTCTTGAACAAGGCAGTCTAAAGGCATTAAGCGTAACAGAGCAAGACATGTATGGGGTGAGGGAGAGTGACAGGCAAGGGCCTGGGTGGGGTGTTGGAGCCCATGCACGGTGCGGAGGCTATATGCCCAGGAGGGCAGTTCTGTGGGGTGTCAGCTCCCCAGTAGGAAGCAAAGGGCATCCCGTGTGGGATATGGCAGCCAGGATAGGAGACTGGTTATTTACAGTGGGATTGATCAAATAGATATTATTTGATCAACATTATATTGATCAAATAGAATAACGGGGGCTGAGCTGAAAATACAGAAAGGGAGGAAACAAAAACAAACACTGGTGTTAAAATGGGAATGATGCTATTAACATAATCTCATCGTTTCAGCAGATGATAGACAGACAGACATTCCCTAACTTTGTCACCTAGCAGGCTAGAAGCAATCATAGTTCCAGTAGGCATGAGCAAACCTAACAACTTTGTTTCTAAATTCTAATGGACACCAAAAGGAACCAAAGCTCTTTGGAGAAATGGCTAATTACAGGTCTGGAGCTGGTAAGGAGGTGCTCAAAGAAGGATGGGGTATGCTGAAGACACAAAAGCCAGCTTTACCAGGCTCCCACTGGTCAAATCAGGGACAATTTGAGTATCAAAATAAATGATGAGAGTAAAAGATTATAATCCATGAGTCTACCCAGATAAAAATAGGTAAATGAATACAATGAAAATTTGGTGAGGAATACAATATTTGCAAAGTCTCAAAGTATCTCCAGACAAGTTACTTGTTTATCACAAAGGAAAATGGAAAATTTCACAGTGGAAAGGGATGGTCAGAAACCACCTTAACCAAAGTGATCAATTACAAAATAATAGGGCAAATTAAAACTCTGTACCACCCATCCAGAAAGAAAAACTCAGGGATCACTTCTGTGATACTCCTGTCAAAGATGCTTAACTTGAATCTCATCAAAGAAACAGTAGACAAATCCCAACTGAGGGAAGTTCTATAGCCCGCATTCCTCAAGTAAAAGTTAAGGAAGGACTCGAGGAACTGTTTGCAGACTGAAGGAGGCTAAAGAGACATGGTAACTAAATGCGCTCAAGTAGTTCAGGGAAAAAAAATTCCTTGCACTATGTTTGGAAAGGAAAAGAAGGGAAGAGAGGGGAGGAGGAGAAAGGGGACAGGAGGGAAATTAAATAACCTTAATTCAAGATATTTATGGGGGAAAAGCTAACAGCAAACATACTTGATGCAAAACATTAAAAATTATTCCCTTTAAAATCAGAAACATCCTTCAGGTTGTTGCCATTTCTTTTCCATAATGCATTGCAGTTCTAGCCAATGCCAAAGGTAAGGATAAAATAAAAGATGTAAGAATTGGAAAAGAAAACATATTATGATGCTATAGCATCATATTGGCAAATGGATAGCAAAATAAACCAAGTCACTTTGAGCCATAAATTTATTTAAATATGAGATACTGCTATATAATGAGTATATTATAAATTGGTGTGGAAAGGATGAACTATTAAAAAAACTGGTGTTAGGCAATCCATATGGGAAAAATATGGAAATTATATCCATATCTCACATCATACACAAAAACAGATTAAACACATAAACGTGAAAGTCAAAGTTTTAAAAACTTAAAATACTAGAAAAACTTAAAATACTAGAAAATGTCTTCATATTAGGATTACAGAGAATTATTTAAAGCACTATACACACACAAACAAAACAGCTCTCAAAAGTAAACACTGATGATTTTGACACATTAAAATCAAATCATCGGTATAACAAAAAAAAAGTGGAAATGTGAGGAGGTATTTGCATTAGATATAGCAAAGGAGTAATATAAAGAACATATAAAAGAAATCTTACAAATCAATAAAAATAAAAAAGTCTTTCAGGTGACATCTGTACAGATATAAAAGATATAAAACCTGATGGCAAAACAAGCAAGAGATGCAGGTTAATACAGTAAATTACCACCACATACCCACAGGTTGGAAAAGCCAAACAGGTGGGTGGGTCAGTAAGACTCTAAAATATTGGTAGGAGTATACTACAAATTCAAGAACAAGTTGGCCATGCCCCATGATTGCTGTTTGCTTCTCACACATGTGCCCAAGGAAGAGTACACTGCCTGCAAATAGCAAAAATTGGGAAGAATCTGTCTATTAGGGAATGAATAAACAAACTTTTTTCCCCCATTAAGACAATTAAAATGAATGAATCAGCTCTATGTGGCTAAATCTCAAAAAACAATGGTGAAACAGCAAGTTGCAAAAGGATACAGTCCATACCATTTATATAATTATAAAAGCTCACACAATACCACTATATATATTTTTTTAAAGAACAACTTACAGTGGCCCATGCAGGGATCAAGCTGGCAACCTTGGTGTTATTAGCACCACGCTCTAACCAACTGAGCTAACAGGTCACCCTATATATTATTCTTCACATATATATACATATATAGGAAAATTGAAACATAAACTATACAATTGCATGATAGCCACAAACTTTTGACACCTCTGGAAAGGATGAGAAGAAGGTATCAGGGCTTGATCTAGTTTATAATGTCTCTTATTTAAAAACCGGAAATAAAATGGTAGTTCACTGATGCTAACTTGTTAACATCTCTATGAGAAAAGTGTGGGAGAGGACATTTGCCTCAGATGTAACTCACAGTGGGTGCTGGGTAATGATAACTTCACCATAAAGATGAAAATGTCAGTATTACAGCAAACACCAGAGGGGAAGGCAGTCAGTGAGGTAAGGGGACCAGTAAGCAGGATGCTTAGCGAAGGTCATTTATACACTAAAATAAAATACAAACGAAGAAACCTTCAAGGGTCAACTATATTGATGAAGTAAATGCAAATGCCAGTTCAACAGGAAGAAATAAAACCCAGTAAGTAAACTATTGCACTCTCCATGTCAGCATATACCCACCACTCTTTCAGATAACATCTCTACATGAGTGGTGATCAAGTCTACTTTTTTTGAGCTCAAGTATTACCTCATTTCATGGTGAGTGTATCTTCCCCCAAATAACTATACTTTCTCATCCACTGAATAATTATTTGTTGAATATCTGTATACAAACAGCATTTTGCCAGAAGCTGCGGGGGAACGTGAGACCACGACCTCTTTTCTTCTGTTTCATTTAATGCACATAACCAACTATAATATAGTTATTACTTTCCCCCATTTTACACATAAAGAAATTAAGATTCAGAGAGCTTAAAAGCTACCCCAAACCCCATGCTGAAATAGCATGGGCCATAATTCAAATTCAGTTTGTCAGCCTCAAAACCCATACCCTTGTCACTACACTACAAAGACCCCTCAATCTCCCGTCTAACTTTCCTGCTCTTAGGCTAGTTTATGTGGGTTCCCCTCACCCCGTACGTGCCATGTGTTGTTTCTCCATAAAACCAAGAGTCAGACTAGAAGAATATTGTCATAACTTTTGAACCAGTAATCCCAATTCTAGGAATGATTTAGAATGAAAAAAAAGCCTTAAAAAAATTTTTTAAACTGTTACAGTCCAAGAATAAATTTAAAAAAATATATAAAGAACAAATAACTGAAATCGGCCACACCAGGCATTGTGCCAAGAATTTTACATCCACATCCATATCTATCACAGCGTCACACTACCACACACCGTAGAGGCACCATCAGCCCACTTTCTAGGTGAGGAAACATCTGTAGTAAGTTAAGTAACCTGCCCAAGTTCATATGGCCAGTTAGGTGCAGCCAGGATCCGAACCCGGGTACTGTGACTCCCAAGTAGGCATGGTTAATCAATCACCAAGGGCTTCATCAACTTTTCTGTGACCCACGATAAGAAATATATTGTATGTCATGATACAGTCTGCACGCACACATATAAAAGTAAAGCCAACTTCTACAAACACTTACCATGTAGAAAAAATTGTCTTTAAGATGCTGGTTTTGAGTCATGAGATTAATTTCTCATGATTCACGATTTAAAAAAATGCACAATGCATAACTGCTTCAAAGATACAGTATTTATTAAAACTATAGTAGCAAAAAAACCAAAACCAAAACCAAACAGAACTAAATGGTAGTTACGAATGTAAAAAATATGTACATTGCTTGGAACGATGCTTACATATGTAGGAAATATATAAATATAAAATAGCTGTGTTAAGGCAAAAAAGGATATAGGCAGTCACATTTTTACTTTTAACTTGCAAAGGCTTTTCTTTCTCCTTACAAACGGGGGTCAAGAGGCCAGACAACAGCCGCTTCGCTTTTACTTTCTTGGCACCAAAGCAGTTTACTGATGTGTGTTCTTTCTTAAATATCCGTTCCAGATAACAACACAAAGCCTTCCCATTCGTTTCACAAAAACTAGCCAAATTCTTATGCCCAACTATACAGTCAGTACAACGAAACAAAATAAATCCTCTCCTTTTTTGCAAATGAAAACTTGGAACCACATACCTTGCACTATTAAAGGAACACGTTTGCAAACACATCCTAACGCCACACACATTGGAGCCTTACAGAAATGGGCTCCCTCCCACCCCACCTCTTCAGCCGGTGCCTTTGCCCCTTCTCCCCTCCGCGGTTCCAACAGACGGGGCTGCGCCCACGGTCTGCGGCCGGGCTCGGGCCTCCTCGTCCGCCAAGGCCTCGCAGTACTGAGCGGGCCAGTCCTTGGGGTCTTGCTTGTGGACTTTGGCCACGAACTTCAGAACCTTCATCTTGCTGGTTTCCAGGTTGGTCCGCGGGCCCCACTGGAATTCGTAATCGACGGGATCCGTGTGGGGAATCGGCCGGTACTCCAGGTAGCGCTGCCGCACAAAGTCCTCGGTGATGAGTTTCTTCGGGTCCCCGAAAATTAAGTGCTTCTTGGCGGGGAACACCCCGAGGCGACGCAGGAAGTCCCAGACTTCGGTCTCCTTGATGGTGTTGCCCTTCATGAAGATGAGCCCCAGCACGATCATGAGGAGGCCGGTGGTGGGCGTGCCCTGGTCGCCGCGCAGCTCCGCGTCCTCCTCCACGGGCTCCAGGCTGTTGATGAGAATGTAACTGTTGCTCTTGGGTTCCAGCTCCACCAGCTTGTACCCGAACACGTACTCCAGGCGCTCGGCCGCCAGCTTGAGGAGGTTGGGGAAGATGTCCCTGTAGTCCCCGATGACGTGTTTCAGAATGTCGCTCCGCTTGATCGGGATCTTTTTCTGGTCTTTAATCAGCAGGAACTGCACCAGCTCGGCCACCTTCAGCTCCAGCTGCTGCTGGGACCTGGGCCCCACGGCTGGGGAGGCCTCGGCCCGGCGGGCGCCCTGAGACGAGCCGCCCACCCCGCGGGAGGTGCTCGGGGCCTCCTCGGCGACGCCGCCTCTCGCGGCCCGGCAGTCTCCGCCGCGGCCCCAGTCTTTCTCCCTCTCGCTCTGGCCGCTGGGGCGGCCCCGGCCTCTCGGCTTCTGCAACATGTCGCCGGCGGTGACAGCTGACCGACCGCGCGAGCTCCGACAGGCGGCTGAGGCGCTACCGGTAACGGGCTGCGGCAGCGGCAGAAAAGCGCGCGGGGAAGATTGAGAGGCGCGCGGAGAGGATTGTGGGGCGGCACGTCTGGGCGGGGCCAGAGGGAGCGCGCGTGGCGTCGAGACTGCGCGCTGCGTCGGCGGAGACTGCGCGTTGCGTCACGGAGGAGACGTGTTGCGTGCGCGGCTGCTTCTGGCCGCCGCAGCTTTTTGCGCAGTCTGGCGGGTTACCGCAGTGGTTTTCAATAGTTTGTGATAAAACGTGTCGTCCTTACCAAACCACACAGATGAGAACCGGAGCCGAAACTCCTGAACAAGTGTGCGGCCAAGTTCGGGCCCGCACAGGCTCAGGGAAGTGTTTAAAAATCGGGAATAGTTTTAGATGGAAGGAACTCAATAAATATGGGAGAAAAACAAGGTGAAGAGGAAGGGAAGAGCGTGCAAGTGAAGAAAAAGCGTTTCCTTCTACACACAGCTGGGCGTAAAAAGAATAAAAGACCCAGAAGATGCCTACTTTGTTTTGCCGTCGCCACTCCCCTCGCTCAAGTTTAAATCCTCCTAACCATTTACCACTAGTTAACTTTCTCTAATGCCCCCAAGAGTCAATTAAAAACGAATGTTTGGTAAAGGCAGGCTTGCCTCGCAAGCAGGGCTTTCCCCCATCTTTTCACTATTTCAGTATTTATATTTTTGCATTAAACTCCATCAGCTAGACAACTATGACCAAGGCACCACGTAAAGTGTTTTCGCTTGGTCAAATGAGTTTATCTGCTGGAACGCACATGAACATGTAAACTGTCGTGGGCTCACAACCACAATCTTAGCAGAAATGGATAAGAAGGATGCTACAAACAGAGAAACGTTCTCTGAAGAGATTACCATTTAATTTAGGGCATCACTGATCAAAAATTGCAATAATATAAATCTTAAAATTTCTTAATTCTTACAATATCAGCCTTAGGGCTCGATGAGAAAGAGAAGAGAACCCAGGGGTATCATCCCTCATAATCTGTGATGTGTGGGTTGTATATATATATATATATATATATATTCTTTCATTTTTTGGGGGGGGGAATTGGAGGATGGGAACAGTGCTGGGGAATTGGGGGAAGGGGAACAGACAAGTTACTATCGTTTTGTTCTTCAGTCTAGTTGTGGAGGACGTTGCTTCACTGGCCCAAGTTGGCACCATCATTGCGCTCTTCCCGGGCGAGGCAGATCAGTCGCCGGCTTCTGGACGGCCGCTCACGCTGGCTGCTGGCCGCTCACACTGGCTGCTGGCTACACACGGTAGCCCATGGCAACCCACTGCCGCAGGGGACTGCAGCCTGTGCCATCGCAGGCGACTCATGGCAGCCCAGCTCCAGGTTGAGCTGTTGTTCAGCATCTTAGCTGAAGAGGGCAGTGTCACTGGCCCTCATATGTGGGATCTGAACCGGGGCCCTCTGGCGTCCCAAGCCAGTTCTTAACCATTGCGCCACTCGGCCGGCCCTATATTTTTTTAGTTGTGCAACTATAATGGACAACGCGAGCCATTTCATTAACTCAAACTATCTGTAATCTGCTGCCATTCTACAAATCGTGGTAAATGTGTTCCTTTTCTATTTACTGACTTGCAAAGAATTAACTATTTCCCTTTGTCTTTTTAAACTACCCAGAAAGTGGGTATACTCTTCAAAGAACCAAATCAAATTGAGTTCCTTTTTAATGCAAATGTATTCAAAGGAAAGAAATTCAAAACACATTATTTGAATAATAGCATCAAAACACAATCTTATTAAAAATTTCATTAGGTGTTAGCATACAATTTTTGTTAGTAATTCAATATGAAAATGCAATCTGATAATGACACTGGAGCTGCACAAAATGTAAAATGATATTCCATACTATGATGCAAGTATACTCGCTAAAATCTGGTAAACTATGAGTAATAACTTTTTGTTGCATACAGGATCTAACAATATATCCTCAAGCATCAATCTCAATGACAGAAGACTGCTAAGAAAAGCAAATATATCAACAAGGCATTCATTTCTTTTTTTTTACAATGAGAAAATTCATCTGCTTCAGTTTACTTGCAAATTAAAAATTTGGACTCAGGATCAAAGAAAAACGACTGCAGTGGAGAATTCTGAAAAAGGTCCCTCTAGAAGGATCAACTGTGCCCTGAGTTAAAAATCAGCAACCACGAGATAACGGAGAGATGGGAAATAAGATGAAAGCCATTGTCAACAACTGGGCTGGTTTTTCAGTGTTTTTTTTTTGTTTTTTTGTTTTTTTTGCAAAAGTGTTCCCTTAAATTACCAAGTCAAGCTACCCCGTGACTGGAAAATCAGCTATGTCCATCAGTGGCCTCTTCACCCAGATAGCAGCAGATTGTCCAACTCAGAATGGGTGAGAAGAGATATCAGTTTTAAGTCTTAAAACACCTCTGTACACAGTGTCCAGAAGAAGACAATTGAGAAAATATAAAATGATCATATTAGAATGAAGCTTAGGTATTGCATGGAGAAGGCACCCAGACCCACACTGCACCTTAGATTGACGTGGTGTTTGGGGGACAATTGTGATGGTGATGGCAATAATAATACTAGTACTAACAATAATAAATATAAACAACAGCCGCTAATGATTATTACAAAGGTAACTGTAGGTCAGACCCTATTCTAAGCGCTCTGCACATATTACTTCGTTTCATCCCTACAACACCCCTATGAGGCTTGTGCATTTATTATGTTTCTCTTCTTACAAATGAAGACACCCAGGCACAGAGAAGAATATTAACTTTTTTGAGGTCCTACAGCAAGAAAGTGGTAGATTTGGACCTGAACTAAGGCATTCTGCCTCTAGAGACTGCTCTTAACCATATGCCAATGCAGAGGGAACATAGATAGATAGGGTGTCCTCGAAAAAGTAAGTTTGGGAGTCAGACCGCCCTAAATTAGATACCTGTATGACACTGGGAAAGCTACTGACATCCTTTCTGTTTCCAAATCAACAAAATAAGATTACTAATCTAGGCTTCTGAGGATTAAGTGAGATATGTTTGCTAAGTACCTAGTAGGGCAGAGACAGGGTAGTTGATAATGATTTGCTTCTTTCCAGGGCATTTATGTTAAGGAAAATATTTGAGGACTATACAAAGCTGTGTGTAGAAAGATGTTTACTGCAGCGACCCACGTGTGCACACGAAAATCGGAAGACAGTCTGGCAAAAAATATTTCAGTGCTATTAAAGCTATTTTCTTTTAAAAATGAAATGCAATGTTTCTTTTCTTGCTTTGGGAGATAAAGGCAAAATATATTTTCAATCAGTTTTAACATCACAGTGACACAAGGCCATAGCAGTTTTATACATTCAAATTTCCAGTAAATTCAGTGTCATTTGAATGTGACATTTGTGACTTTTTGTTCAGTCAGTGAAGTACTAAAGACACGCAGTTAAAAAAGGAAAAACATTTTCAAATGCTTTGTTAATGACCTTAGTACTTTTATTACTAGACCCAAAAGAAAAAAATTCTTTGAGGCAAAAACTAAGCTAGCTAAGATTTAATTGCACTGAACAAAGAAATGCGTACTGCCAACTTCTGTTTAGATATCTCTAAGTAATTAATTGCTTTGTTTCATCTCCTTGGTAGCAAATGCCTTCCAAGAAGCTCTAATCATCTTTATTATCTGCTGAGTTCTCTTGATTCCCTAGTATTTCTTGCAGAATCAGAGGATGGCTTTACATGTTCTGACATTAACCTTGTACAAAAAGGCAAGTAAGGACTTTGGGGGAAGAAAAGCAATGATAAAAGTAGGCAGCCGCCATGTAAGAGCTGCTCTGCTGCCTCTTCCAGTAGAAGAAAGTGGGGCCGTGCACAGCACTTGAGCAAAGGGGTCAGTGGGGGTAGGGACTATTTTGGCGGGTAGACAGGAGGAAAAGCAACACAGGCATTTTGATGGTTGTTTCCACTCATTAGTAACAAAGCTCCATCCTGGTTAAATCTGATAAGATGACCCCATGACACACTGTCCCTCATGAAAGAATACTTTAAGAGGCAACAGAGCTTTCCTTGGCTGGCGGAAGGGGGTGGAGAGGTCTTTCTAAGCATGGCAGCCACTTGGCCCAGAAGCCTCTTCTTAGACTCTCGTTTCAAGTGAGTACAGAAAAGGGGCCACAGGTTAAACCTGACAAGCTCAGGAGACTGAAAATAACCACACAGGATGGCATGAACATAAAAAACTCTTAATTAAGGTGGGCCATGGTGGGAAGTCACATCTTTAGCCTGAAGCTTCCTTCATAAAGTCCATCTTCACCTTAAGTGAGCCTGCCGATTGTCTTTTTGCACCTAAGATGACATCCTTAGAACCTCAGTAATCCCTTTTTCCAGACCAGAGCAGAGAAATACAGACTGCCTCATTATTATTCTTGTCCCTTGATTAACATCTGTATGTGAACTGTTAGCTATCCTGTACCCACCTACTACTGAAAGAAGTACCTGTCTGTCCAATTTACTTTTATCCAATCCCAGAGATTTCCCCGCTTTGCCCCCCCCCCCTTAATCTACCACCAATGGATTTCCTGTAACCTTCCTCCTTTGATTCTACGTATAAAATAAACTGCAAACCACCATTTTGCGGAGCATTTTTTCAATCCGTTGAGATTTTGCTTCCCAGCAATTGTCGTCAGTTTGGCTCAAATAAACTCTTATAAGCTTTCTCTTAGGCTGGGTGTTTTTTTCGTCGACACAAGAAATATAGATCTTCCAATTACCCAGGGCCTTTTACTTATGAAAATCATGAAGGTCTATAAAGTTATAAAATTACAAACACGTGAGGTCTCAATAGTGGCCAATAATTTCTTTTGTTGGCTGTTTTTGCCCATTCTGCATCCTTACCCGCTGGTAACTGCCTCTTCCATTTCTAGGAGACCCTGGGAACAGCTCTGCCTTCCTTTTCTGGGTGCACGTGACTCAGGCTGGCCACAGCAACTGGATCGGAGTCAGTCAGCCTCCTTTTAGGGGTTCATGTAAGTCCTGTTTGAGCTAACAAGCTGAAGGGGGATGTAAGCCTAGCCACCTCTGCCTTCTGCTTCGGGATAATCTGCAT